AATGTCTAACCACCATGCTGTACACCTGAATAATATAAAATAATATTGAATGTCACTGTAGTTGAAAAAAAATAATTTTAAAAATTAAATTTAAAAAGTGATGACTACGGGGAAAGAAAAAAGAATAAGTGAGGAGTTCATGCCATCCTCTGCCTCAGGATCTCTATTCCACTCCTTAATGTTCTGGAGGAACCCAAACTCTTATTTTTTTTGTGTCAGCAACCACCCTGCTAGGATCTAGCCACTAGTTTAGGGTCTAGTCACTAGCTTTAGCTGGGGAAGAAACAGCCTTTCTTAAGCTCTCCTAGGTGGGAGATGGGGAGAATATGGTACAGAAGGGACAGCCTTTGTGGGACCTCAAAAGGGTGCTGGTGAAGGGAGGGACATTCAAGGCTTAGATAAGAGTCAAAGGAGGTTTTCTCTCAGGGAGCTATGTTGGTGGATGAGGAGGAGGGGGTAACTTTGCATAAAGGGCCTAAAAGAAAAGAGATTGAGACTTGAATTATTTTTTACACTGTTCAATATTAATTAACTCCCCTCTAAAAGACTGAAGTTCTAAAGAGATCCATCAACAGGAAAGAACACTAAAAGTCCCAAAAGGGAACTCTCTGTGAGGAAAGCAGTCTGGTTAAATGACCAGGCTCAGCACCAAAGTCTAAAGGTTTCAGAGGCTGAGGTTGGCCATGGCCCTCCCACCGCCCCCTGGCACCACAGTCAAGCTTGAAGACCTTGCCCGAACCTGTGTGAACTAAAAATTGGGAAGCCCAAGTATATGTCACTCATATGGCCTATGCAGGAATCCCTGCAGCACTAGAAAATGACCCATTAGATTGTGCAGGACAATGCTTCCCCAGTTACATCACTGAACAAGGACAGAAGCAAGTGACAGCACTCAGAGAGGGAAGTGCTGAACTTCTTACAAATAGGGATGGGTGGGTACTCAAATTACTAATTGGAAAAACAGATGATACCATTTCTACCCTGAAATCAGATCCTATATTTACATAGTTGAAAGTTACATAGTTTATAATATCATGTTTGGATGTCCAATTTGTCCTTAAGGAATAACTACAAATTAATATAGCCCCACGCCAAATATGGGCTCCAAACACTCATGTAGCAGGGACAATGGAGTTATCCTCTAAACTGACTGCAGTTTGAGCCACACTGGCATAGGAGAAAGGAAGTGATGAAATTATTCTTGTGTTTAGCAAAACACTTTAACAAGCTTTTTTTCTCTGAAATGTAAGGTCCACCCCCCTCCCCCACACCCCCTGGGGAATAATAGTGAGAGAGCTTTGATCAAGAAGCTAAATTGTTTTGCAAAGAGAGTGGTTACTGGCATAGAGACCAGGGCCCTGGGAGTCTAGAAGAAGAGAGATTAGCTTTTGCATGCACGTGTGGCAAATGTGGGCTTTCCTACTGCAAGAGGCCCAGGCAAAATCAAGCCCTTGGTCCTTCCTGTGGCATAAATAGAGTAAAATGGTAACTGTAAGGACAAATAAAAAATTTTAAATAAGAGGCTTGATTCTCCCTGTTGAAAATAGATTTCTCCCTACCCTCCCTTTTCTTGGTTCATTTACTTTAGAAAACTTGTAACCGTTAAGTTCTATCTCTTTGAAATCAGTGTGTAGATCTTTTTAGAAGCTAAATAAGCTTTTTGGCAGCTTTGTGACCCAGGAGTGTTTTTCCCAAGGACCTGGGAGCCATCTCTTTGAAATCAAGGGAGACAGCAGCCCTAACTCCTAGTTTCTGTGAGTGGGTGGGAGCCTAACTGAAGTGGGCTCCTTGCAGCAAGTTGCGAAATACTTCTTGTCATAAAGACACAAGAACTTTGTTTTTCCTATGATTAAGCCTATTAATAACACAGATGGTCACCAATTACCAGGTAAAGTTAGGATGAACCTATGCATGACAAAATGGTGCAGTCAAGAGGACTTGTTATTGTTTATCTTGAGAACATATGTGTAATGGGTTCTATCTGCTTGGCTAGATAAAAGCGTGAGATTTTTCTGTCTACAACTTTACAATCTCTTAGCGATTGCCTGTGATGCACATAACACTCTTGTTTAATGCTTATTCAATGATAAATTTGTTCTCTTTCTCTACTACCTTCATTGAAAGGTTTTTCTGGGTTGAGAAATTTGGTTTCTACTCCCCCCCCCACCCCCCAATAATGCATGTGCTTAACAACAAAAAAGAAGGGGGAGAAGGGTCTGGAGGAGTAAGACCCCTAGTGGGAGGCTGGGGCTTGTAGAGGGATAAGGAAAAACAGGATGTGGTAGGGAAAGGCAGAGGAATTTCTAAGAGGAGTGATGCTAACATTCAATTGGAAATTGTTTCCACTCTGTAAATAACAGAATAGCAGCTAATACATACAGGAACTATGTGCCCAGGTATTGCTCTCAGTGTTTTAAACATTAATTCATTTAGCACATGCAGTAACTTGGATAATTGTTCCTAAGTATTCATCAACCCCACCCCCACCTCCCACCGCCATGTGACCTCACAGTACACTAGAGTGGGCAGAAAAGGTGTCACCAGCAGAAAAGCAGGCTGAAGTATGAACTGATTTTGGAAGAAGGCATGAAACAAACTCTTTTTCAGGCAAAAGTGACTCCTGAAGGGTGTGTGTGGAAAGACCAGATTCAGCTACTACATAGGATAGGAATGTGAGCCATTCTATTTGGATATTACAGGATATGGTGACCCCCAAAACTGAAGGAAATTGGGTGCCAGGCACCAGTACTGAGCACAGGGGATATAGGCAGGAGTGGGCCTAGAAGATAAGAAGGGGAAGGGCACCCAGTAACAACCAGACACGAGGTGTGATCAAACAACACGATGAATGTTTAAATTTTAAAAAACCTCATTACAGTACAGATACATTGCCATTAGTCCCCATCAAAATACTCCCCCTTGCTTCAAAAACATCCCATCGCTCTTGCAACTTTCTGAAGCAGTTCTGGAAGTCCTTTTTCATGAGTGTCTTGAGTTGCGCTGTCGTGGCTGCCTCATGTCCTGAATCATTTTGACTTTGGGGAAGAGCCAGAAGTCGCACGGTGCCAGATCCGGTGAATGAGGCGGATGAGGACACACTGTAATGTTTTTATTTGACAGAAATTGCCGTATAACAGAAGCGATGTGTGACATGGAGCATTGTCATGATGGAGGATGATTTATGGCACACTTTAAAACACACCTTCTCTCAACCGTAACTCACACCTGCCTGATTGCACTGAACAAATTGAAACTTGTCACACAACTGTTACTAAGGTTTGCCTTAGTAACACGTCACTTCCCATATTGAAGATCCCTGCCTTTCCACTGGATGGCACTAGGCAGCAACATTCACCGTATTTTGTGATCACACAGAAAGGCTCCTTGTCACAGATTGCTCTGGTATGGCAATTTCTGTCAAATAAAAACATTACATGTGTCCTCACCCACCTTATTCACCAGATCTGGCACAGCGCAACTTCTGGCTCTTCCCCAAAGTCAGAATGACCATGAAAGGTAAATGTTTTGAATCGACTCAGGACATTGAGGCAGCTACAGCAGCAGCACAACTAAAGACACTCACAAAAGAGGACTTCAAGAACTGCTTCAGAAAGTGGCAAGAACAATGGACAAGAGTGTTCGAAGTGAGTGGGAGAATTTTGAGAGGGATCAATGGCAATGTGTCTTTTACTGTAATATATATATTTTTAATTTAAACATTCACCGTATTTTTTTTTATCACACGTCATCTGTGATGTCTGGAGGCTGGAAGGAGGAACTATTCTTCCCAGTTTATCCTTGCCCTTTAACCTTGCCAATAACCAACATCCCAAGTCATTTTTGAGAGTCTGGCTCAAGAAAGCAGACATACCTTGCCCTGGCCTATTCCAGGCCACCAGACAAATTCACTGTGAGCCAAATGCTTACCGTGACTTAGACCAAGAAGATCTAGATAGGAACCTGCAAGAGGCTTCATCTGATTCTTCCGTGGGTGATGATGAGTCAGAAAAATAGCATAATCCTCAGGAGCCAGGTCACCACCCACAATCCAACTTCCCTACAGTTTCTACGATTGTTGAATTAAAGCCTCAGGCCGAGGCCAAGTCCTGAGTCTGGAGATAACACTATCTTCAAATAGACCAGACCCCAGGAAACAACGTCAGGATATCAGCCCTCAAACCTGCCTGACCGACTCCCCGTTTCCTATATAAGAAAAAGCTAACCTGAAGTTAGGTGCAGTTGTCCTCTCTGCTGGTGCCTTTCTTCTTAAATAAACTTTCTCACTTCTATTCCTTTTGAGTCTGTGAATACTTTCACCTTCTGAGAACGACCAGAGGTTAATTCTATACCAAAACAGGTGACAAAGCCTGAAACTTGAATCATCCTTCTAATGTTTACAAAGTCCTTAACCAGCACTGACCCCACTCTTTGGTTTCCTCCCCTGAATACTGTGAAGGAACAGGAAATAGCTGGGGGAGGAGGTGCGGAAAGATAAAGACAAGAGAGAAGAAGAAAGAAATGAAACTTTATACTTAATAAAAACTGTTTACATACTCATATAAGTTTTTAGGAGGAAAACGGAATTCTGGTAGGGACAGCAGGCACCAGGGTCAGTAACATGAGGCCAGAATATGTACCTGGACTATAATGAAGGGAGAGTGGCCTATTCACTTGGAAAGGACCAAGTTCATGGATTTCGCCCTTGTATGCTAGGTCCCTAAGTGACTCCATACCGCCCCCTAACACTCAGGTCCCTAACATTTTCTGCACCCATTATGAAGGTTGGACAAAAGGAGGCTTTCACCGACCTGCCTCAGTTAGGCCCCTCTCAATACCTGGTGTATATAAAGTCCTAATGCGGGG